CCGGTTGTTAACTTTTCGTGATTTTTCCTATTTCATGTGTGCTATATACCCTCCTACCCCCCCCCCGCTCGACAACAAAACTGTTGGGTGCAGGGACATCGTTGTTGGGGAATCCCCAACAGGGGGTCGTATTTGGTCGCCGGAGAGGGGGGTCGTATTTGGGCTGAGAAAAATTTATTTTGATAGTTGATTTTTCTCGCTTCACGGACGTCGTAAGGTAGTAGTTGCTCATAAGTGGGGTCGTATTTACTTTCCGGCCTTCTAGGAGTGGTGGTTGACTTTTCGTGATTTTCCTGTTTCATATGTACTATATCCCCCCCCCCCCCCTCGCCCCTCCCCCTTCGCTCGACGCGGCTCGATTCGATGAGGTGGGACAGAGGGCCGGCGGTGGGGGTCGTACCAACCCCCCCCCCCAAAAAAATGGGGGGGTCGTATGGACTCGACCAAAATCCTTAACCAATGATGTGCCCTGGTTGGGTGAAAAACTGGAAAACCGGTGACTATCTACAGAGCGTGGTCAGTCGCGACTGAGTCGCTCGAGAAGCGGAGTATGAACGCAGGTTCTAGTAAGTAATCATTCAATGGTTATTACTTTTGAGATTTCAGAATATGAGATTTAATTCATGAATTCATTATTCTACATATTTAATTGTCACAAAAAATACTAATCAAATAATAAAGAAATAGAAGTTAATACGCAGTGACCAACATTATTTTTAGCAAGCAATAATGGTTGGAGACACGGTAGCAGACCTGAAAATGGGCCGAGTAGCGGGTCTGAGAGCCAGCGTAGCTGTGTTGACCGGTGTCGGAAATAGGGATACTCTCAAAGAATACAGTGATTACTTTGTAAGTGTTAACTTCAAATCAATAACCATATAAACTGCATGATGACGTCATTTTCAGCTTGACAACGTCAGTGAACTTCCGCTGTTAATTGCGACGAAGATCAACCAGAACACCAAACGAGGCTAACCAGAAAACTCCGTCAAATCACCAGTTTCACTCCGCCGTCTTACTGACTACTCTACTAACCCCATCTACTAACTCTTGCCGCTGACCAAATTTATGGTCTACCTACTGATTAGAACCACTTACACCAACTAATTCCGGCCAGGGATGTGCGCTAGGTAAAGATCTTGATTTTTCGAGAAGAAAAAAAACCGAACATTCGGGTTTAGTTCGTGCTGAATTTATTTCACTTAACTTCTACTCAAAAAAAAATCCGAAAAATCAGGCGTTTTGCACATCCCTGGCATCCCGATCTCTAACTGATTACGTTGTATTCTTGAAATTCTGAAACTGGTTCCAGATGTCTATAGCGTACATGTACCTGTTACCCGAGTGAAGTTGTGCATTTGTTCGTGATTTCTCGTCCCGGTGTCCCTTATGTAACACTAATCCTTACTGACAGAGTCCAGGAATGCACTTGAGAGAAGCATTGGATACAAAGATTGTCGCGCGCGACAAAACTTGTCGCCATGGCGGGAAATAGAGAAAGGAGGTATTGATCGGTATGTGCTTGCCGCACGCGTCGTATCCAATGGTTCCCTCCTAGGCATTCAACGTTTATAGGACAGGCTACTTCACTTCACTTAGAATGTAGATTTCAGCTTTATGGAGAATACTTGTAATGCATTTGTATAAGTAGGCGTTTTAGCCGTGTTGTAATATGGATTCCAATTGGATTCTAGGAAACGTTGTGTTCAGAAGAAAAATGCATTTTTACTCGATATTTATTTTTATAATTACGGTAACTAAGTGTACATAAGTAATTAGTGTGCCATTCAGAGCAATACATAAAGGAACCATGCAGTGATGATATTAAGAATTTGTGTCGAAGAACTCAGTAGATGAATCAGTTTTACAGTCGCTTTTGCATCGCTACGTTGGCCTTATCAAAGGAATAAAAATGGGTGCTGACGTCATTTGATGGGTGGGGGATGGAGCGGGATGGGGAGGGGAGGGGGGGCAGGCACATCGTTGTTATGCATTCTGCAACAGAGGGGTCGCTAATTTGGTCGCGTGGAAGTGGCGTTCGATATCTGGGATGGACATTTGCTTTCCATGGTTGATTTTATTGTTCTTAGCGGAAGGTATAAAGGGGGGGCGTATTTCGCCATCTCACCTTCTGCTGACTTCTGACTTTACGTGGTTTTTCTGCTTATGAGGTACTTAGTATACCCCTCTCTCCCCACGATCGACAGAACAGTTTTTGCCGGTAAAGAGGAAGTTTGTCGGCGAAATTCCGCAAATAACTTCCTATGAGAAAGTCGGTGAAATTGGCGGGTAAAATCCATGAAGGGTCGAGAGGGGCGTCGTAATCTCTTTTTGCGATGGCAACGAAAGTTTGAGCTCGCTACTACATTACGCGCGTCTCCTAAAAGTTGCATGAAAAAGGTTTGCGTGCGCTTAACTTGGCGCGCTTAGTGCCTTATGATCTAGGGGAGATTTTTGGATGTACAGGTGCCCTTGGCGCGCAGTGCAGACGTTTTCGCGCTGAGCGAGTGCCATATTCGTATTTATGGGGGCGAACTACGCCTAGGTAGAGATTTCTAGCCAAATCTGCCATTTTGAGATCGAAAAAGTGAGCATCCATGGGTAGTTCAGTTGGATATTCACACCTATTCTGGACTACAGATACATTCTTACTGCACAATAGCCTCGTCTGCCATTCTTACGCTTCATGTTTTACTGCCTCCAGATTTCTACCTGGTATCTAAATAAAGCAAATTCCGTTCCAACGCAGCAATCACAAGAAGAGGACTGGCCCGTGGAGACTGATGGTAACCATCATCTCGATCAACTGCTATCGCACGTTTCTCGAAGTTGCATCAAAGAGACTCAATGATCTGGCTAGAAACCTTCCCCAAGAGGGTAGCTTTTGTCCCTTGAGCCAGCGGAATTATGCGCACCATATGCGGTGGTGACTGTTTTCTAGATTTAAAAGAGGTACATATCACCACAAAATTGCAAAAGAAAGCCCTTCCCAGAAAACCTCTTTTCAGAGAATCGCTCTGCAAATTTCGAAGGCAGATTCGAGATCAGCGTCCAAAAGGACGTCTAGCGAGCTACATCTCATTACAAATGGCCACTTCACCTCTGACGACTTTCCCTAGTAAGGTATAGGTTAAGAAGTAAAAGCCTTCTTGACACTAGCGATTTAACTGAGTTATGTCATTATGCTAGGTTCACACGAGCCTCGACTATCTGTATAGGCCGATATCGTCCATCAGTGTGGGCAAGGGTAAAATAAGCTTCATCTTAAGGTCTTCCTCACAACTAGGTTGTTTTCTTCCTAATCAGTCCCCAAACGATCACCGTGGTATTAGGTTGTTCGAAAAGTCCTGCGACACTTTGATTAAATTGTTCTAGAAAAAGACCAAAAATCATTTTGGATGTTTTTATCCCTGATTAGTGGAGAGTGTCCTCTGGGGTCTTGCACATAGCGTATATCATGACTTTGGAGAAGCTTTTCACCACCAGCTTAAAGCTCCCCAGGGATCGAGGTAGTTTCGAACCTGCTCCCATATTGATGTTCCTAGTCCCAGGCCACTCCGCCGGGTAGTCGAAGAAGGCTGATACTACGCTGTCTTGAGGAAGGATATCGCTTGCCATGGCAGAGGGTAGCTTTTGCATCAGCGCCTCTAGGCTGGACTTATTTAACTCGTAGTTAGGCAATGTATAGGTCGCCCATCAGCACAGAGTGACGGCCCTTTACTCAAGCTTCTTGAGGCGCAGCCGAACGTAACCACCGGTAAGTTGGCGACCTCTCTAGGCTCCACCTGACTGACAACTGCCATGCTTCTCCGCAATCTCGGTTATCGGAAAAAATTTTTGTGAAGGATGCCTCATGAGTTGGACCCGTCTGACAAGTCATACCGAATGACCGCGACTGAGTTTTCTTTTCCTTGTACACAGCGAAAGAACTTTTGGGAGATCTTGTGGTTGGTAGCGAACGTGTTGGAGTACCTTGCGGCATCATGCACATGTCTCCGCAGGATCTCTCAACCGTTAAGTAGATTTTAGCAAAGCGGATGTGCATGGCTTATAATATTTCGTGTGTTATTGGTGAGAGGGGAAAAAAGGAGGGGTCTTTATAAGCGGATCACTGAGATACAGCACCGTTGTAAGGACGCAGTCCACCTTAATCGACTTCAAAATATGGATGACGTCACGCTTGAATTCATTCAGAAATACTCAATTTTTCTCTACTACTCGGTAATGCGAGGACCGCATGTGTAGGGATCAGGCTACGACAAAAGATCATGGATTTCGATCGGAGAATGCTACCGTACCCTGAGGTTATTTCTCACCAGTCGGATCGCCCGGCTGTCGCCGGGCGCTCCTCCTTCTGTGACATGGCCCGGCTTCGCCGGGCCATGCGGATTTGCCGCGTGCTAAGTTAAGGATCGTTGACCAACCACACTGTTTAAGAGGAATCTTCTGCATCAGCCAAGAAGTGAGAAACAGCGCTTACCACTACACTTACCTTTACGCTTACCACTATGCGCACTACCGCATTCAGCAGTGGAACCTTTAAATGGCCCTCACTGAAGTTGCTGATGGAAGATAATTGTGGTAAGAGTGATAAAGTCAGTTGCTGCTGTTCATAACATCTCTGTAAACAAACCACATGCATTTGGAATAGAGCTGGCTTAGCGGTCGTACACGATGTCGTTACTAATAAGCAGTGAGGAATGAGTTCTGTTGGAATCACTGAGATCGTTATACTTGAGTCATATCGATCGCATTGTTGTTGTGAGCGGTGAAGCGGATTTTCCCATGTTACCTTGTCACTTTTAGCTCCTATCACTTCCCGTGACCCAGCCAATACACACTCCCGTTCCGTATCACTATCATATCACCCTGTATCGCCTCTCGGATCAGAGGTCCCACTGTTGCTGTAACCTGCGTTACGAATCTGATGACCCTCCCCTTCCGAGGCCGCTTACCGTATCTTATCAACTGTTATCACTTTCTGTCGCCCGCCAATAATGTTCCCGTCCCACACCCTATATCACCTCACGGATCTGAGTTCCCACTGTTGCTGTAACCTGCGCCACGAATTTGATGACCCTCCTCTTCCGAGGCCCCTTATCGGATCTTATCAACTGTTATCAGCTTCTGCCAGCCCACCCGCCCGCCCAGCCCCACCCCTCAGTACTTGAAATCGGTCCCGCCGTTGCTGCAACTTGCCACGAATTCGGTTACCCTCCCTTTTAAGGCCCCTTATCGAATCTTATCAAGTGTCATCACCTCCTGTCACCCATCAAAAGTGTTCCCGTCCTGCCATGTATATCACTCCTTGAAATCACGGTCCCGCAGCTGCTGCAACTTGCGCTAGATGTTGGTCACCCCCCCCCCTTCTAAGGCCCCTTATCGAATCTTATCAAGTGTTATCACCTCCTGTCACCCATCAAAAGTGTTCCCGTCCTGCCATGTATATCACTCCTTGAAATCACGGTCCCACACCTGCTGCAACTTGCGCTACGAATTCAGTCACCCTCCCCTTCTAAGGCCCCTTATCGAATCTTATCAAGTGTTCATCACCTCTTGACACCCCTGCCAAAAGTGTTCCCGTGCTGATATTATCACTCACTTGAATCACGATTCCCGCACCTGCTGCCCAACTTGCGCTACCAATTCAGTGCACCCTCCCCTTTACAGCCCCCTACTATCGTATTCTTATCAAGTGCCTATACCTCCGCACCCACCAAAAAGTGTTCCCGTCCTGCCATGTATATCTTCTTGGAACTGTCATCCTATCTTTTCTGGGACGCTCGCTATGAATTTCGTGACACACACACACACACACACACACACACACACACACACACACACACACACACACACACACACACACATGCGAGATTATATAGAGAAATCAACAAAGTTAGCAGCCTCTAATTATCACCTCCTTTGGTCCCTATCGCATCCTTTAGAAAGCGAAAATTCCGAAAATCGACCTCAAC